CTGAGGTTTTAAATGACAATTTTAGGTTATATTTTAGTGATCAAGATTTGATATATATTTTTAACTGCTATATATGTATTGTCTCTTTTATAAAGTAAAGGTAAAGGGACCCCTGACCATTAGGTCCAGTCGCGGCCGACTCTGGGGTTGTGGCACTCATCTCGCTTTATTGGCCGAGGGAGCTCACCCCGTCGCGGGGATTCGAACCGCCGACCTGCTGATCAGCAAGTCCTAGGCTCTGTGGTTTAACCCACAGCGCCACCCCCGTCCCTCTGTTATACCCAATTGCAATTCAATGTATTCCTCTTGTGTTTTACGATTTTCCTGATATTCTAAGTGAGACGGAACTGGTCTTTGACCGTAATAATAAAATTCACTTATTCAATGCGCTTAAAATGTGGTATTTGCAGCTGTATAGCTGAGTCCTCAGGTTGAGAGGTGAAAGGAACTATGTAAACAGAGGCATCTTCAGAAGCCAGAACTGGTGGAACATTTATAATATTGTCTTCACTCGGCTCTAGAAAGCCATAAGATGGCCACACACTTCATCACCTTCCCTCCCACAAACTCAAAGTGGTGTCCATAATTCTCCTCCCGATCCTTGTTTTATCCTCCCAACAGCCCTGCTAGGTAGACGATCTTCACGGCTGAGTGGAGATTTGAACCCGCGTCTCCCAGGTCCTATTCTGACCGTCAAACTGCTACATCGCACTGGCATTTAAAGACACTGCAAATCTGGCCTCTTAATACCCGACATGCAATTTATGGTTTATTTGTGCGCTAAACTGGTTTGATCTCTTTTCCTGCAGCCGAAGAAGTCTTTATGTTGCTGCTGATTGTATTTTATTCTTGTGAGCTGGAGAGAGAATGCTATCCGATAGGGCAGCCGATACAATGGTAGTATAATACTAGATTTCGTGGCCGTGCAATGAAGCTGCAGGTTGAAAGATTCAGGGCAGAGAAAAGAAAGTTTTTGTTTCCGCAGTGCATAGTAAAACTGTGGAACTCACTGCCACAAGATGGAAGGCTGTGTGAATGTAGGAACATCCCCCCATTTTATTTCATCTCTGAATTCCTTTTGCCAGTTAGAGCTCTGCAGTCTGAAATCTGTGTACGAGCCTTACTAAACCCACCTAGTATATAATTATTAAGTTTGCAGATTGTTATGTACTGAGTTCAATAGGATCCAAACTGCAGCAGGCTGATTGGTCCTAGAACAATAGGATCCAAAAGGCAGCAGTCTGGTTGGTCCTAGAACAATAGGATTCAGAATGCAGCAGTCTGATTGGTCCTAGAACAATGCAGCAGTATGATTGGTTGGCAGGAACCAACCAATAGAAGTGAATCCACAACCTGATTGGCTTACAGTAGAATTCCGGAATTAGCCAATCATGGGGAGCCTATTGTGTAAATAATGTATATAAAGCAGATACTGTGAGGGGACTTTCATTCATTCCTCCTCACCAGTATGAGCTGAATAAAGAGCATGAAATCACTTTGCGACTCTGAGTATATTTCACAGATGATACTACCATAATGGGTCTAATTACAGGTGGAGATGAATCAGTGTACAGTGGAGAGGTTCAAAAAGTATCTACATGGCGCTTAGAGAATAACTTGCACCTAAATATTAGCAAGACAAAGGAGATGGTGTTGGACTTTTGGAGGAAGAGAGGGGAACTAGCCCCGTTGTATATCGGTGTGTGTGTGTGTGTTTGTGTGGAGAGAGAGAGAGTCTCTTCCTTTAAATTCCTGGGAATTTACCTTAGTGAAGATCTCGCTTGGAAAAGCAATATAACTCAGGTTGTTGTTGTTTACTCGTTTAGTCGTGTCCGACTCTTCGTGACCCCCTGGACCAGAGCACGCCAGGCACTCCTGTATTCCACTGCCTCCTGCAGTTTGGACAAACTCATGCTGGTAGCTTCGAGAACACTGTCCAACCATCTCGTCCTCTGTCGTCCCCTTCTCCTTGTGCCCTCCATCTTTCCCAACATCAGGGTTTTTTCCAGGGAGTCTTCTCTTCTCATGAGGTGGCCAAAGTACTGGAGCCTTAGCTTCACGATCTGTCCTTCCAGTGAGCACTCAGGGCTGATTTCCTTAAGAATGGAGAGGTTTGATCTTTTTGCAGTCCATGGACTCTCAAGAGTCTCCTTCACCACCATAATTCAAAAGCGTCAATTCTTCGGCGATCAGCTTTCTTTATAGTCCAGCTCTCACTTCCATACATCACTACTGGGAAAACCATAGCTTTAACTATACGGACCTTTGTTGGTAAGGTGATGTCTCTACTTTTTAAGATGCTGTCTAGGTTTGTCTTCGCTTTTCTCCCAAGAAGCAGGCGTCTTTTAATTTCGTGACTGCTGTCACCATCTGCAGTGATAATGGAGCCCAAGAAAGTAAAATCTCTCACTGCCTCCATTTCTTCCCCTTCTATTTGCCAGGAGGTGATGGGACCAGTGGCCATGATCTTCGTTTTTTGGATGTTGAGCTTCTGCCCAACAGATACTCCATTTCCTCAAGGTCTTGAGAAAGAACAATGTTAAAGAACAATCGATGACCTCCTTCTACCGGTCCACAATAGAAAGTGTCCTCTCATATTGTATCACAGTGTGGTACGTTGGCTTGACAGCCACGGACAGAAAGTCTTTACAGAGGGTGGTGAGCACAGCGCATGGTATCATGGGCTGTCCCCTGAGCCTGCTAGATGACATCGCAATGGATCTTTGCCTTAGGAGAGCAAGAAAAATTCTCAGGGACGATTCACACCCCCGCCAGCTCCTCTTTAATCTTCTACCCTCAGGCAGGAGATATAGAAGTATAATCAGTCATACCAATGGGCTACAAAACAGTTTCTATCCGTGGGCTGTTAGAACAGAAAATAATATAGTGCAACTGACTTTCGGGGTTGCTGTGTCGCGCGACAAGCACACAGAGTGCAATGAGATTGAGTGTTTTTATGTGGGGGGAGACTTGGTTAATTTCATTGTACACAGGTTGTACATTGGCAATAAAGGTATTAGTTACAGGTAGGTAGCCGTGTTGGTCTGCCGTAGTCGAAATAAAAAAAAAAAATCCTTCCAGTAGCACCTTAGAGACCAACTAAGTTTGTTATTGGTATGAGCTTTTGTGTGCATGCACACCTCTTCAGATAATAAAAGGTATTATTATAACATTACGCATTAGCAATTAGCTCCAGCAACGCCTCTGATGTTTGATCACACGGCATTAGCCACAAGCCACAAGTATCCTGCAGTTCCTTGAGAAACACAGCAGTTTCATCAACCAGCTTTCACCCAGTCTTAAAAAATAAGTTGCGATTAAGCTGAGGTGTGTACGCCGAGGATAGTAACTGCACATGCTCAGATGACAGTTTGGTCCACCAGGCCCAGGCAGGAAGTTATGATTACATCCTTCCACAGTGGTTAGTTGAGAACAATTTTTAACTTTTCTATATGGTTTGTATTATGCTTATATTGCTGTAAACAGCTTTGGTCTATACCTTTAATGGCCACAGCGGCCTATGTAGGAGACCTGTGACCTGCAAGTGTAGGGCAGTATATCTTTATATTTATATATTTTTTGTTGATTAAATTTATATACTTCCCTACACACGCAGGTCACAGATCTCATTCACAGGCCACCTGGGCCATTAAAGGTATCGACCAATGCTGTTTAAGTTAATGATATATTAATTCCAATGGGTCTACTCTGAGTAGGGCTTAGCTGGGTACAATCCCTTGACCCTTCCGCCCGTATGCTCTAACACTTCCTGTTCTTTTTTTAGGCCACCACCGAACCCCCGAAAAAGAAACCGGACCCCATCACATCGGAGACTGTGGTGATCTGGGGCTTGCGCCTCTGGCAAGTGGTTGGGATCTTTGCCCTATTTGTCATGAGCGTCAGTAAGTCTCACCTCTCTGCCTTCCATCCTAACCCCGAGAGCCTCATTCCAGCATTAGAAACTCAGATATACAGTGCTACCTTGGTTCTCAAATGTAATGCGTTCCAGAAGTACGTTCCAAAACCAAAGCGTTCCAAAACCGAGATGTGCTTTTCCATAGAAAGTGATGCAAAATGGATTAATCTGTTCCAGACTTTTGAAAGCAACCCCTGAAACATAGCTGTCAACGTTTCCCTTTTCCTGAGAGGAATCCTATTCGGAATAAGGGAATTTCCCTTTAAAAAAGGGAAACGTTGACAGCTATGCCCTGAAACAGCAATTTGACATGAATTTTACTATCTCATGAGGCCATGGATCCATAAAATGAAAGCAATAAACAATGTACTGCAGTCACACAATCAATCCATCAGTAGCTGAACTGGGTTCCACACAGTCACAAAAACAAAAAGTGCTAAGCTGTGGGTGAACATATCAGACGACACAGCGATTCTTCAAACAGCTCTTGTTTATTCACAGGCCAGAACAGAACTGAACTGAAGGGTTCAGCCAGCCTGCTTATATAGGGCTCCACTACAACGCAACATTAGCCACTTTCTGTAACTATCCAATCACTGAACGTCACTTTCAATCCCTTATCTGCATATCCATATCAACAGAAAGGAAAGAACTCACTCTGAAACTCACTTACAGGTGGTACCTAACACCAAGGAAACTAGCGCTAATATGCCCAGGAACCTCACCAAAATGCTGGAGAGGGTGCACCTCCACAGGTACATACCTCCACATGTGGTGGCAATGGCCCCAAGTCCAACTATTCTGGACAACAATCATATGAGAAATATGCAAAATAGCTAAACAAGTATTAGAAGTCACCCCAGAACTGGCCCTACTAAACATCTTCCAAGATAATAGAAGAAGGATGGGGAATTTATGGGCCTCCAGATCAAACTGGACTCCCAGTTCCCATCAACCCTGAGCTTTAGCCATGCTGGCAGGGGCTCATGGGAACTGGAGTCCAAGGACGTCTGAAAGTCCACAGGTCTCCCGCCCTTGAATGTATGCAAAATTTGCACCAACAGTATTGAGCCCCACAACTTACCACCTGTCCGCGCAGAGGAGGGGACCCCATCTTCTTAGGGCTCGAAGTTCACCGTCCCCAGGAAGAAAGGTAAATAAACGGCAGGACTTTGTGGGTGAAAAAAGGTGGCTCTTTGGCTGAACGCAGAGTTCCTTCCTCCAGAATGCATAACCAGGATTTGCCCGGCATCAGATCTGGAGGGCTAAGAAATTCTTGAGACAGGCCTGTCTGGCCTGGGAGGTGCTGGTTTCAGTTGAGAGCAGGGAGATAAGTTGAGAAATTTCATGGCGACAGGAATGTCCTCTTATCTTCAGCCCTGAAATGCTTTGAAGTTTTCCTCAAGGCGGGATCCGAGAAAGGGGCTGTTCTTTGACCATTCATGGGATGACCAAGCCGTAATTCTGGTGGAGGAGATCAAAGACCTCTGGAGGCAGCAGTAGAGGTGTAGATTCACAGAAAGCCCAGCCAGGGAGAAGACCCTCTCCTGTGTTCACCACCAAGCATTCATCTGAGGGTCTCTGAAGACCTCAGAGCCTTGTTCCTTTTGCACTGTCCTTCAGGTAGTCTGTGCCTAAGCTTAAAGCAATAAAACCATGCGTAAAAAGAGTGGAAAACAGCTTTTTTAAGCATGCGAATGGTCATTTAAATCAGTGATAAGCTAAGAGCAGCTTGAAACGCATACAAATAGTCTACATATCTGGGTTGGTATGCAGGGATTGTCCTAAGACCTTTGCTCAGATAGGAAGAGGCAGGTCAAACATTGTTTAAGAGTGATTCATGCTGTTTTCTGACGGATTTCACGAAAGAGAGAATTTGATACCTGAGGGAACTTCCCGATCTCTGTAGCCTGCGATGAAAAGAAGGAGTTAATTGGATCTGGATTATTTTAGAGTCAGGGTGGGCTGGCTTTAGCCTGTAGAATCATAGAATTGTAGAGTCAGAAGGGGACCCCCCCCCAAAAAAAATCATCTAGTCCAACCCCATCGTCCACAAAGGCCGACATTGATGCTAAAATCCAGCATCGCCTGAGCTCTGTGAGTGCAGCTTTCTCCAAATTGAAGTGCAGAGTGTTTGAGGACCGGGACATTCGCAGGGAAACCAAAATGCTTGTTTGCAAAGCTATTGTACTACCAACCTTACTGTACGCTTGTGAAACATGGACCATTTATAAACACCACCTCCAACTCCTCGAAAGATTCCATTAACGGTGTCTCTGGGAAATTTTACACATCACTTGGGAAGACAGGCGAACTAAAGCCAGTGTACTGGAAGAAGCGAAGATCACCAGTGTTGAAGCAATGATTCTTCAACATCAACTTTGTCGGACTGGTCATGTTGTGCGGATGCCTGATTATCGTCTTCCAAAGCAACTACTCTATTCCCCACTTAAAAATGGAAAGCGTAATGCTAGTGGTCAACAAAAGAGGTTTAAAGACTGTCTCAAGGCAAATCTTTAAAAATGTAGTATAAACCCCAACAATTGGGAAACACTTGCCTGTGAGCACCCCAGTTGGAGAACAGCCTTTACCAAAGGTGTCCTGGGCTTTGAAGACACTCGAACTCAGGACGCGAGGGAGAATCATGCTAGGAGGAAGGCACTCTTGGCAAATCCACACCGTGATCAACTCCTGCCCGGAAACCAATGTCCCCACTGTGGAAGGATGTGTGGATCCAGAATTGGCCTCCACAGTCACGTACGGACTCACTGTTAAAACCGTGTTTATGGAAGACAATCTTACGCGGTTACGAGGGATCGCCAAAGAAGAAGAAGAATGCAAGGCAGCCCTGTTTAGGGAAGCTTTTAATGTCTGATGTATTACTGTATTTTAATATTTTGTTTGAAGCTGTCCAGAGTGGCTGGGGAAGCCCAGCCATATGGGTGGGGTATAAATAAATTATTATTATTATTATTATTATTATTATTATTATTATTACAGCTAAAGAAACCCTGGCATTGATGCCATCCAACCTCTGCTTAAAAACCTCCAATGAAGCGTATTATTATTATTATTATTATTATTATTATTACTACCTTTGAGTATTTTCCTTGTTTTACCACTCCCTGCCTGTTTAGCCTGATGGGTTTTTACATTTGTACAGGAGCAGGGGATTCGATTCCTGGGGAGAGAAATGTGCGCTGTCACGGGCACTTAAAAATGGCAAACATTCAATTGCTCGGGCCATTAAATCCATGCTGGGATGCACCGTTCCAGCATTAGGGCTCTAATTTCACCGCTGGCATCTGAAGTAGGAAGGAACAGAGCCTGTGGTTGGTGTGGAGAGCATTGGCACTGTTAAATAAGCATCACTGTTTTGGATGGTGAAAGTGACCAGATGTTTCAAGCGTCTATATGTTTGTCTGTCTGTCTGTCTGTCTGTCTGTCTGTCTGTCTGTCTATCTATCTATCTATCTATCTATCTATCTATCTATCTATCTAATCTTTCTATTTTAAAACCATCCTCTTGCCTAGCAGCTAGAATGTACCGTATTTTTTGCTCTATAAGTCTCACTTTTTCCCTCCTAAAAAGTAAGGGGAAATGTGTGTGCGTCTTATGGAGCGAATGCAGGCTGCGCAGCTATCCCAGAAGCCAGAACAGCAAGAGGGATTGCTGCTTTCACTGCACAGCGATCCCTCTTGCTGTTCTGGCTTCTGGGATTCAGAATATTTTTTTTCTTGTTTTCCTCCTCCAAAAACTAGGTGCGTCTTGTGGTCTGGTGCATCTTATAGAGCGAAAAATACGGTAGTCTTTTCCGTTTCATACAGGAGACAGACTGACAATCTCAAGGGAATTACAGTGGTACCTCAGGTTAAGAACTTAATTCATTCTGGAGGTCCGTTCTTAAGCTGAAACTGTTCTTAACCTGAGGAACCACTTTAGCTATGGGGCCTCCAGCTGCCAACGTTCGCAAGAAGCACAACACAAAACCCCTTCCGAGAGGTTTTCAAACTACAGTGGTACCTTGGTTCTCAAACTGAATCTGTTCCGGAAGTCCGTTCCAAAACCAAAGCGTTCCAAAACCAAGACGCGTTTTCCCGTAGAAAGTAATGCAAAAGGGATTAATCCATTCCAGACTTTTAAAAACAACCCCTAAAATAGCAATTTAACATGGTTTTTACTATCTAACGTAGGGGTCAGCAAACTTTTTCAGCAGGGGGCCAGTCCACTCTCCCTCAGACCTTGTGGGGGGCCGGACAATATATTGAAAAATATATATGCATGAGTTCCTATGCTCCACAAATAACCCAGAGATGCATTTTAAATAAAAGGACACATTCCACTCATGTAAAAACACCAGGCAGGCCCCACAAATAACCCAGAGATGCATTTTTTTAAAAAAAGACACATTCTACTCATGTAAAAACACGCTGCTTCCCAGACCATCCGGGGGCCGGATTTAGAAGGCGATTGGGTCGGATCTGGCCACCGGGCTTTAGTTTGTCTACCCAAGATGTAACGAGACCATTGATCCATAAAATGAAAGCAATAAACAATGTATTGCAGGCACACAACCAATCCATCAGTAGCTGAACTGGGTTGCACACAGTCACAAAATTAAAAAAGAGCCGCAAAAATGCAAAATAAATACCAGTAGCAAAAATAGACCTCAGTGTAACATTCAAAACAGAAGCATGACACTCAAATCGGAGGTTTAACACTCAAAACGGAGCATGTTTGACTTGCGAAAAAAGTTCGCAAACCGGAACACTTACTTCCGTATTTGCAGCGTTTGGGTTCCAAGTTGTTTGAGTACCAAGGCATTTGAGCACCAAGGAACCACTGTATAGCATTGGAACTGATTTGCAGAAATCACCAACATAATTAACCATGGGATGACATTTTCATTTGTTAGGACAACCGCAGCCTTCTTTAAAGGCTGATTAAATGCTTTGCTATCTTGTCTCCTCAGCTCACAGCAAGGCCTTTTATTTTTTTTAACTTCCTCTAATTTACGGTTTCCAATTCCATCGTTGCTGAACGATAGCAAATGCTCCATCATTTCCTTCCTGCCCGATGCGTTCCTCATTTTTCATCCTCTCCTGCCTCCTATTTTTTCCTCCCAAGTTGAGTCTTTTCATTACCCCACACATAGGACACTGAGGTCCTCCTGAACCGGCCTGTATACAGTGGTACCTCGCAAGACGAATGCCTCGCAAGACAAAAAACTAGACGAAAGGGTTTTTTGTTTTTTGAGCTGCTTCGCAAGACGATTTTCCCTATGGGCTTGCTTCGCAAGACGGAAACGTCTTGCAAGTTTGTTTCCTTTTTCTTAACACCGTTAATACAGTTGCGGCTTGACTTCGAGGAGCAACTCATAGAACGCGGTGTGGTAGCCTTTTTTGAGGTTTTTAAAGACTTTGGTGATTTTTTAAGCTTTTCCAAAACTTTCCCGACACCGTGCTTCGCAGGACGAAAAAAATCGCAAGACGACAAAACTCGCGGAACGAATTAATTTCGTCTTGCGAGGCACCACTGTATGTTAATTCCAGAAGGGGCAGAGCTGCTTGGGGTTTCTCAGCCGTCGGCAAAAGGCACTCTGCACGTGCTCAGGGGACCTCTTCCCTCTGTTATCACAGTGTGCAATCCACTGAAGGGAAACCTTAACATACGCAGGCTCTGAAGCTTAAACAAGTTTTGCCAGAGAACTAAAGCAGGCTTCCAACACACTGGAAGATCTGTGTCAGCGAAGGATGGTTTGAAATGGATTTTCAGAGGGGAAAAATAAATCACTGCCCACTAACAGAAAACTAGAACGGAGGGTTTTAATTTCTCTGGAGATGGTTCACGCCTCTTATCTGAGGGCTGAGAGAACTGCAACGAGCCCTCATCTTCGTCTGGGCTGAAAGCTCAGCTTCATCCGGTCATAAAAGGGCAGCAGAGTATATTACTGCCAGGAGCTGTTTGATATATTTAGTTTTTTTAAATATGCTTGAATGCTGTTCACTAGGGGCTGGGGAAGAGTTCTCTGCAGAATGAGCATGTCAGGGGAACCTGGACTCTTCTCCCTGATATGCTAGATTTCTACCTGCAAGGAGGCTTTAAAAAAAAATCCTCAAGGTGTATTTATATAAACTGCCTTAGGAGGAGGAGCTTATCTTACATGCCTTGCCTGCTTTTTAAGTGCCTTCCTCTAAAGAATATCGGTGGAGAATGTGGGGCAGTTCACTGGGTCTGAGCTACACATTCCGGTTGCTTAAAATGCCTCTAGATTGCCTGGGTGGAAAATGGGCACAAGCCTGTCGAGACACCTCTGGCTTTTGCATGGTTGGAATGTAAACCGTTTTGCAAAGGTAGAATTCGCACCCATAGCTCTGTTCCTGTTTGCCTCTGGCGCCTGAAATTCTGAAAGAGGCTTCCCCACTCTTGATTTTAGAGTCATAGAACTGTAGAATCAGAAGAGACCCCCAGCGGCCATTTAGTTCAATCCCCTGTGATGCTCAAAAATCCTTTTTGGGAATTATAGGGACAGAACTACCTAAATTGTGTAGAAATTTATTTATGTATGCTACTACAGCAGCAAGAATGTTACTCGCCCCAAAATGGAAAGGAAGTCCCAGCAAAGGAAGAATAGATACAAAAACTTATGGAACATGCAGAAATGATGAAACTCGCCAGAAGAATAAGAAATCAAGATAACAAACTTTTTTATATATAAAAGA